CCCGCCCAGGGCAGGGACGAAGGGTGTGTGTGGCAAGGAAGGACAAAAGGTGGATCAGCGATTTTACTTGAAAACAAGCTCCATCCCTTTTCTATATTTATAAGAAGAGAAGATCCTGAGCGAAGCAGCACGCGACCCAGGTGTGTGTGAATTGAATGGAGACGTTCCTTTTTTTTTTTTTTTTTAATTTTTGTTTTTGTTCCTTTTTCTTTAAAAAAGTTTTATTTTGTTGTTTATTTTACTTTTTTGGTAACAAAAACTAAAATAAGGAATAGAAAAGCTGTTTTTCAGGCTGACAGTCCGATTAAGGGTAGTTGAGACCTTGCATGGTAGGGTAGGAGTCATAGTGTCTGTCAGTGAGGTCCAGTGAGTCTGTGTGAGTCCTTGTGTCATCGTTCGGGGCACTGTTTTTTTATGCAAGGGCAAAAATCTTTGTATCTGGGGAAAAAAACAGCAACTTTTTTTTAAATTAAAAAGGAAAATAAAAGATATTGAGGTCTTCCTAGTGTTACTTAAATTAAGATCAAGGTAAGAAACATTGTAAAAAAATTACAAAAGTGCTATTTGTTTCCTAAAAACAGTGATTTCTATTAAAAAGGTGTCAGAACTGGAGAAAATGCTGTGTAGTTATAATTTTTTAGCACAGAACCTGCTGATCATGATGACATTTTGCCGTGTTTGTGTCTCAAACTGGTGGGCTAGTCTCCACGATTTCTGTCCTCTGGAAGGCTGCAGCCCGGCCGGGCAGGGACGGAACTGTCCCCCCATTCTGCCCTCCTCAGAAAAGACTGCCCTCTCCTCTCAGTGCAGGGATCTGGGCTCCTGTTTTGAAGCCCAGTAGAGTGTGGATGGTGTCAGGGCCCTACCCACTGTCCCCTCGGATTTCGCTACAGCAAAAGGCTGGTGCCTAAATGAGATCCTTTCCTTTGGTGCTGCTCTCGGTCTTTCTGCCACCAGCATTTTGAGTGCCTGGGGGACAACTCTGAAGGACATGGCCAGTGAAGCTCATTGGTGCCCATGCACCCTGGCCTTCATGGGAGGGGGCAGGGGGCAGGCTAGCTACATCAGCCCTTGGTGCTTAGAAGGAACGATGGAGTAAGATGTCTTGAGGGTACATGGTGTCTCTGAGACGGAGAGCCCCAGGGTGGCCTTTGTGTCTGTCTTGCTTTTGAAGAGAGGTCTGAAAATCCAGCCCCTTTCTCTGCCTGCTGGTCCCAGGCACCAGAGATGGAATTTGCTCTCCTTTTCCCACCCACGCGATTCCTGGGTGACCTGTGGCTAGAATCACTGAGCTTGCCTTGGCTTGGTCTGTCTCTTTCTTGAGAAAACCAGGGTTCTGAAAGGTTCAGACCATTTCTATCATCTCACCTTGTGGGAAATTTTGTCAGGTGCGCGTGCTCCTGCTGGAGTCCTTTGCGCAATGCGTACCTGGCTGACAGGAGGAAAGCAGAGACACTATCCCAGCCTACCCCATGCTGCCTCATGGCCAGAGTCTAGGAGGGGCAGAAAAGGTCCCATTAGTTTTTCCCTCGCCCAGTTAGACCCGGAGAGACAAAGATGGATCCTGAAAGTAAATGCCGCAGAGATACTTCTTAGGTTAAATATGTCTCATCGCTACCAACTGTTTCCGGATACTCATCTTCCTGGGGAGATTAGAAAAGGGGATTAAGAGTGGCCGGCTGACAGGCCTCAGAGCCAGGCCCTGGCTGAGGAGGACAGAGAAGAGCTCCCTTTCCTCGTGCGGAAACCAAGGTGCTATGTCTAGTCAGGGAGCTTTGGAGATGCCTGGACTAGTTGGGGGAATAGTTGGCAGAGGTTCAGAGCCCAGTGGCAGGCTGTAGGCCCTGTCTCAGCTCTCCTGTTGGACTTGTCTGGGCCCAGAGCCTGGAGCTCGCCACGCAGTACCTACCTTCTTGAAAGAAGTTGGGAAACTATCATCACTAGAGGCCTTCGCTCAGAAAGGAGATGCCTGAGGATTCTTGGGGTGGGGCAGGGCTAGGATTTGATCGGTGTTTTGCCTACTGCTGTGAGCAGTCACACTCTGAACTTGCCCAAGATTGGGACATGGATTCTTCCCGAAGTTCAGATATGAGCTGTTTTGGGAGGCAGCTAGTATGGAGTATAAAATGCAACCCTGCCCCAAAACCACATTCTGGACCCAAATTCCAAAACACCCCTTACTGCAAGGAAAGAGCTCTAGTCACTCGGTCTCCTTTCCCTTCACTCTCCTGACGAGAGAAGATCCGCTGTCTGCCCCGACCTGCTGGTGCCTGTGACACACACTCATAACTGCCCTACCTGAGCTGCCTCCACCTCCTCCTCCCTCCCTCCTGTTCTTTCCCCACACCCAAGTTTAGCCACTGACAGACATATCTGAGACCAGGTAGCAGCTGTCTGGGACTAGAAAACTCCCCACCTGGCCATTGATCAAGGGGCCCTTGTCGGTCCTGTGGCTCAGGCGCTGTGCCCTCGAGGCAGAGAAGTCACATTGCTGTCATCTTCCCAGCTCAGCTCACATTCTTGCCAATGGCCTACAGGTCCTTTTTCTTTCTTGGAGCCTGCTGGGTCTTGTTTCACCTCTACTGAGCTCATCCAGAGTTCTGCTTCCTTCCTTACCAGGCCCTTTAGGGCAAGCCTACTGGTTACGCCTGGTAGAGAGACCTGTGGGGCCAGCAACATGGCCATGGCAGCCTCCAGCTGGCACCACCTGAGTGCCCGCTTTCCTTACAAGGCCTGCCTCTCTGCCCCTGATGCTGCTTGGCTCAGGCTCAGCAGGCGGAGAGGATGGGCAAAATTGCTCCCTCGTGCCTCTCCCATGAGGGTGACCACATTTCCCGCTCACCTGTCTCTGTGCAGTCGCCTCTCTGGCCATCTCAGACACTTCCTCTCTTGGGGCCAGCAGAGCCTCCTTGGGCTCTCCCAACCCCACAACACACTCGAAGTGGTTTCTTCCCTTCGCTCTCTTCTAGGGTGTGGTCTTTCTTATTTATCCAAAGGGCTTAATAGGAGACTTTTACCCCAGGGTCAAAAGGCTCTTCTGAGTAGTAGGATGGATGGTGGCCCAGGTATGTTTTCCAGGCTTTGGGTTCTCCAGATTCCAGGGCTTCTGTGGGATGGAGGCAACCTTGCTCTGTGTAAATGCCTGTGGGCCTCACCCCCACCCCTCAGCTGGGCACCCTTGGCAGGAAACAGGAGGCCCATTCTCACCCTTACAGCCATCCTCAGTGTCAGCACCTGGACAAGAAGGCAGGGGGTGGCCCCTGAGAAAATCCCTCTGGCCCCCCCACAATGTGAGGAGGAGGAAGCCAGGAGTTAACCCTCCAGAGAGCCATGGTGGAAATCTTAAAAATAGCCCTTGTAAGGGAGAGCAGGGCTCCCAAATCCAAAGCCCACTTGGCTCTCCCTTTCCACAAGGCTCTTCTCGAACTCCGAGGACTCCACTGTCCCCCACGGCAGCCTTTGGCCCCTGCCCCTCCCTCCAGCATCACTGAGTCCTCAGCCCAGGGTAAGCTGCAGTCAGGCAGGACAGGACGGGCAGCCAGAGGTCAGCAAGCTCTGAGCAGCAAAGAGCCAGCCAGCCCCCAACCTGTCTCTCGTCTGCGCCCTTTGTGATTTCAGTCTTGGTAGAACTTGTATTTGGAGTTTTGTGCTTCAAAGTTTTTGTTTTTGTTTGTTTGATTTTTGTTTTGAGGGGGTGGGAGTGGGGGGATACAGAGCAGCTGATCAATTTGTATTTATTTATTTTAACATTTTACTAAATAAAGCCAAATAAAGTCTCTCAGCCTCATGGTGTTGGGTTTGGGGCCAGGGAGGGTGGGCAAGACACACTGCCGTCCCGGTCTCTGGGGGAGCAACCGGGCCCCGCTGTGACTCCAGCAAGACTCAGCAACTCCCAGGCCTCATGGATGCCCTCGTGCCCCAAACCAGGACAAACATGCAACAAAGCTTTTAAAACTTTAATTATAAAAAAGGATATATAATTGAGGATGGGAGAACCAGCCCCAAACCAGCTGGAGCAGAAGGAGACTAGACCTCAGATACAGTAGCAGCAAAGGGAGGCCCGTAGGCCCCACCTCACAGATGCTCCACTGCAGCCCTTCCCACAGAGACCTTAAATAATTTAAATAACAGAGCAGGAGAAGTGGCACGGTTGCTCCAGGGTCTGTGGGGTGTGAGCCAAGGCAAAGGGCAGGGGTGCCTCCTGCAGGCTCAGCCTTGGGGTGCCTCAGGCTGCTGCAGGGCAGTGAGGTATTTGAGGGCAGCAGCCCCATAGTGGCGGGATAAGTCCTGGTGGAACTCATCCTTGAGGATCTGCAGGCAATCACGATAGGTGGGTCTGGAACGGAAGCGGGAGATGTCGGGGCTTGGGGTGTGTGGCAGATGGATGGTGAAGGCCTCTGGCAGCACCAGGAGCTCATACTCCTGCGGAGGTGGGGGCAGACGGAAGGTCATTGCCTGGGCTGGGGGTAGAACAGCTCTGGGGTGGGGAGCAGGCTTATCCAGTAGCCTCTTAGAGCCAAAGCCAGGGCCAAAGGGCAGCCAATTTTGGTTCTAAAGAAGGTGGAACTTCTAACAGCGCCACCTACCGGTGCAGTGTGCCTCACCCAGACGTAGTGATCCTGGGTCTGGAGGTATTCAAATCAAAGCTGGAGGCAGGAAGGATTCCCCTCACCTGTGCATCCAGTTCCACAATGTGGGCCACCTTGTTCCAGCCAAAGCCCACAAAGCGGGGATCATAGCGGGGGCAGTCACGTGGCACCACCACGTAGGGCTCATAGTCGGCTGCCCATTGCACACGGTATGGGGCCTGAGCCTCCCGCCATCGGGCATAGTCTGTGGGCGCGTAACCCTGGGGCCACTCGTGAGATCTGTGGAGCAGGACAGGGCGGGGAGCCAGGCTGAGGCTAGGAGCTCACGGGTGGTGGGGGCTGGTGTGAAAAACAGGGAGACAGAGCAGTGGCCTCTCCTACCTGAAGGTGTAGAGAGAGCCAGCATCCAGCAAGGCCAGCAGTTCGGCCTTGGAGTTGGGGAAGCTGAAGTGGTAGTGCAGGGTCTCGAATGCTGGCACCACCAGAGCTGCCTTCCGCCCGCTGCCCAGCTCCAGCTGCTCAATGGAGGCCCTGAGGAGGGAGCACCGTGAACAGGAGACAAGAGAAGGCTCTGCCTCCAGCACTGGACCCAGTGATTCTCTTGCTTTTATGACCGGCTTTCAAAAGCTAGCTCACTGATGCCCACTAGGAGACCGACACGAGTGGAGCTGCTGTGGGAAGCAGGCCCCAGCCTCCCCTACGCTCTCACGGCAGCCCAGAGAAATGGTGTGGTCTCACCCCCGGCTGTAATACAAACCCCATTTCACAGGGGACACTGAGGCCCAGAAAGGAGGGATACACTCACCTAGGGCCCTGCAGGTACCCGCAACCCTGTCCACACCCATCCATATACCTTCCTCTCCCGCCCACCTGAGGTAGTCGTAGAGGGAGTAGGAAGGCAGAAGGTCAATGTCACTGAGGAAGACATAAGGCGTGAGGGCCTGGGCCATGGCCACGTTGCGAAGCTGGTTAATAGGGTAGAGGGAACCCTCACGGTACACCACGTGGTAGGCCACATCCTGCCGGGCAGAGAGCACCGCCGAGGCCTCGACGAAATGCAGGAACTGTTGGGCCTCTGCGTCTGTCAGGTACAAGGCCAGGCTCATGGGGCCCGGCCAGTGCCTACACAGGGCTTCCAGCATCTGCAGCCTGCGGCGAGGGGGGTAGTCAGCCCAGGGAGCTACTGCAGACACCCCTCAAGTGTCTTTTTGAGCAGTCTTATTTAATCTTCACAACTACCCCACAGGTGGGTACTTGCTCCTTTGAGAGGCCAGAGATATTAAGACTCGCCCATGGTCTCACTACTACGGAGGGCACCCAAATGATCCCAAGCCCAGCTCCTTCCACCATGTCCAGTGTCTCCAACCTCTGCAACTCCTCAAGCATCGGGCAGTGAGACCTCTTCCTTCTACCCTCCTCTCAGCCCGCGCCATGCTCTCTGGGGTTGCCTTCAGCACCCTCACCGGTCCATGGAGAGCTGGGCCACAAGGGTGACATCGTGAGGCCGGGGGGGCGGTGGCTCATGGGGCAGGAAGGTGATATGCACACGGTGCACAGTGAGCTGCTGCTGACGGAACTCAAGGCAGGTGTCCTCCTCGCTGAGGTGTGCCAGGGCCCGCTGCAACTGAGACAGTCGAGGGGAGAAGGACGGGGGCTGGGGCGGGCGAGCAAGTCCCCAGACCAGAAGACCAGACTAGGTCCAACGGGAGCAGAGCGGGGCAGAGTCTTTCCATGACAAGAGAAGGCGGCTCTCTCACCTGCTCAGCCTCAGGTGGGGGTGGGCTGGGGCACCCAAAGAGCTCTCTCCGCAGCAGGTTCCCATTGTACTCCAGGAAGGTCAGGTGGAGGTTGCGGAAGAACTCCACGTGCTTGTTCTTCACACGCAGCTTCTTCGGTGAGTTCCAGTGGATCACCTGTGACCCGGGAGGGTGTCGGTGCGGGAGTGGGGGAAGGGGTCCCCATCCTCAGCCCACCGCCCCCACTTAGCCCCCCGCCCCGACTCACTTTGAGGTCAGCTGCCTCTGAGTAGCAGCGCTCAGCCAGCGTGTGGTCTGACAGCTGCACATTCCAGATGCAAGGCAGGGGAAGCACCAGCCCGGGGTGCCTCTTGATTATGGCATTAAAGATGTCCTGGGCAGAGACAGCCATCTCACCTTGGCCCTGAGCCTGTCCCCCTCCCCCCAGAAGGCTTCTCCAGACCTGGTCGGCCAGCGAGGTGGCAGGCAGCGTGAGGAGCTCCTGCGTAGCTGTCAGCTTCCACATCTGCTCCCAGCCAGCCTGCCGAAGCCGGTCCAGCCGCAGGAGGATCACACCTGCTCACGAAGAGGTTGTCATGCCCACCTGGGATGACCTAGCCCCTGCTTATTTTTAGGCTTATTGATATTTTCTGACATGAGCATGGACTACAATCCTCTTGCGGGTGAAGGGGAGGTGCTGCACAGCTTACGGAGCACCTCCATAGCCATCTTCTCCCACTCAGTGGTCCCGGGGCTGGTAAAATCCCTATTTAATGGATGAGAAAACTGAGGCGCAGTTTTATTGCCAAAGTCATCCAGCATCTACGGCCAAGGCTGGAACTGTTTTCTGGCTCTTCTCCCAGTGTTCTTTCCACAGCACTAAGTCTGGGGGGCTTCCTAGCATTTTGTGCGCTGCCTAGTCCCTGGGGCCTAGGGACCAGTGGCCACCCCTCTTGCCTCCCCACACCATCCCCACCTGTGTTAAATCCCCGGCCCAAGGCAGGCCAGGGCCTGTGGTTCCTCCAGAGGTTGCCCAGGTACCAGTCGCTCTGGTTCTCCACGAGACCGATCACCTGCTCGTCTGGGAGAGGAGGGCACGAGGGAGCTGCCTGAGGCTGCCGCAGGACCTCGGCTCAGGGCTAGGCCATAGGGGTGCTTGTATGGGCCAGGGAGAGGGGCTGGCGGGGGCAGGGTCCCAGGCCACTCACCAGAAAAATAAGCAAAGAGTGCCCAGAGTTCTGCAATGTCGGAGGCGAAGGTGACATCCGTATCTAGGACAATAACACGGGCCAGGGCAGGAGGCAAGGCACCGGGCAGCACTAGCTTCATTAGCCCATAGAGGCCAGAGTAGTGCTTGTTGGGGATCCAGGAGACCTGAGGCTGTTGGGTAGGAAGGACAGAGCATGAGCCTGGTGGAGCCTGGTGGCGAGTGCCAGAACATACTCAGGGAGACAAAGGGCGAAGAAGGGGTGAGCCCCAGGAGAGGTGAGGGATTCGAGCTTCAGTAAGTGTGATGGAACTGGGGGTCCCAGGCAGCTCTAACCTCTCCTCTCCCTACCCCCCACGCCCTGGGAGGAAGGAGAGGGCTGGGCAGGCTGGGGAGGAGGGCGGAAGGGCCAGGGCTCCTGCCTTGAGCTCTTCCGCATCATAGAAGCTGACCCGGACAGCCGGAACCATCCATGTGTGGAAAAGTGTCTCCAGGATGTTCCTGGCCACTGCATCAGTCACCAAGTGGAGGTGCAGTGGGTTTTTCCTTTGGGGAGGACAGGGCAGCAAAGCTGATAGGGCCCAGAAGTAATAACATGGGGCAAGCCCAACCCCATGAGGCTCAGAAGAGGAAACACCAATTTTTCAATCCTGCCCAAGACTTTGTCCCCTCCCCCACTCTTGGACCCCCACCGCCAACACCTGGCTGTACCTGAAGAAGAGCATGGACTTTACCAGGGTGATGACATCCCGGCTGGTGTTATGTCCCGCACACACCATTGCCACATGCAAAAGCTGAGGAGGAGACACGGTCACCAGCAGCACCCCCTCCACTAGGCCGTGAGGACCCATGGTTGGGCGGGCCTGGACTTGTAGTCCCACAAGTCATCCGAGCTAGACGAGAGTAGGGGGCTGGGGCGGAGCAAGAGTCCAGTCCCCTGGTTTCACAAATGGGGAAACTGAGGCTGGGAGCAGGGGAGATATGAACCCGAAGCGCCCCCAGCTGGCTGGTCAGTGCAGGAGCGACGACGCCAGGTGTGATTCCCACAGGTGCCTGGGTGGCCAGGATGGGGCCGCGGCGCCCCCCGGGTTCCCGCCGCCAGGGGCCGCGCGCACCTACCTCGCACTTGGGAGGCAGCGGCCGAAGCGGGACGCAGTCGGAGCGGTTGCAGCCCCCGTGGTCCGCCGGCAGGTCTCCGTCTGGGGGGACACGTGGCGTTAGCGAGCAAGGGAAGGATCCCGGGCCTCCCTGCTCACGGCGTTCGCACTCCAGGTCTCCGCCGAACAGGAAGAATCCGATCAGAATCAGCACCAGCAACAGCGCGGCGGCCCCCAGCGCCCGGGGGCGCCCTCGGGGCAGCATGGCCGCCTGCGGGGGCGCTCAGGGCGGGGCGCGCCCCCAGGCTGCTGGCTCCATCTCCGGCTCTACAGACCCAGGAGGGAGAGAGGAGGGTCAGCCCTTGGGCGGCCGGGCCCGACGGCTGCCCGGTCCCCACTTATGCTGAGTTGCCACCTCACCTGCTCCAGCGGCTTAGGGACCTGGACCTTACTCTTCCAGAAGCCGGCCAGGGTGCTGGGAAAGTGGGTGGAGGCGCAGGCCTGGCCCGTCCGAGCAGGAGCCAGCTCCGCCCCCAACCTGGGTTCAGGTTTCACCTCCGCTTGGCTGAGCCCGAAGGGCGGGGAGACCCCCCGGGGGCCTGACCCCGCCCCTGCCCCGCCATCCGACGGCCTCCCCCCAAGATCCGGAGGAACCCAGGAAACCCCCGGGATAGCTTGAGGAAGCGGCGTGGGAGAAACCGCCACTCAGGAAGGCCCAGTCCCCGCTACCTGCTGTGAGCCCATCCCCCTCTTCGCTGCTCTGGGGCCCCACCGCCTCCCCTTAACGTCCCTCCGTGAGAGGGGCCGTGACCCCGGGCCTGGGCTGAAAGGGACTGCCAGAGTAAGAGGGAGGGGGCTGGAATGCTGGCCCTGGGGATTGGAGACACCTGCTCAGAGGGCTGGAGGCGGGGCGGCCGAGACCTGCCCTGGAGCCAGTGAGCACCTGAGCCCCGCTTTCCTCCCTGCCCTCGCGTCTGCTCCACCCACGCTCCACGTGGCCTGCCCGCGACCCGGCGCGGCTGGGACAAAGCAGCCTTAAGAGGGTTGCCTCCTGCCCAGGAACTGGCAAGAGACCTCACAGACTGGCGGGGCGTGGGTCGCCTGGGCAGGGCCGGGATCCCCTATGCTCGCCTAGACCTCCGCGATTTTGCCAGACGCCGGCCTGGCCCTCTTCCTTTCCACCCCCCACCCCCGAACCCCACAGCAGGCACCAGCATGGCCTCGGCCCTGGAGGGGTTGGTGGGCGCTCTGGACCGTGAACAACAGCCACGGTTGATTGAGCGCGTACACTCGGTGCCAGGCCCTGTGCCGGATTCCACCAAGCCTCATCTCAGTTAACCCTCACATCGGTCCTGTGACACAGGCATTTTCTTACCCCAGAGGGTCCAAGTAACCTGTTAGAACACCCTTGGGCTTATTCCCCAGGCTCTACCCTGCAGACAGTTTCCTGCTGCTCCTGAGTTTCCTGTCCTAGGACTTACCCTTGATGTTCCTTCTGCCCGGATTCTTCCAGATTCTCACAAGGCTGGCTTCTACTTCTGCATCCCTAGGCTTATTCCTAGTACTTTGACCTTGTCTGTTTATAATCTGTCTCCCCCACCCCTTAGAAGGTGGCCACTCATGGTACTGGGTCAATCAGGGCCTGGCACATACCCGGCCCTAAGTATGTGCTGAAAGTGGATGGGACTCACAGGGCTTTGCCATGACCTGGAAAGGGGCTCAGACTGTGTCCTTTAGCTTAAAAAGTGAAGGCCTGAGAAGCCCAACCCCCAGAAAAGCTGTGGCAAAGCAGCCCAGCATGAGACCTCCAAGTCTCTTCCACTGAGATGCCTTTCTCTGGGAGATGGAGGTCTGCAAGGAAGGTTGGGCTTGAGGCTTTGGAGGCCAGGGACAGTGGTTGCCATGGAGACTTTCGGCAGCTCCTCGTGTATCCGGGAATTGAGATCAGAGAATGCAGGGGCCACCCAAGCATCTGGAGCTTTAAGCCCCCAGCCCCTCTGCCCCTCATCTCTGCCTGGAGCTGGGGCGGAGGGTGGGTGACTCCCTCTGCAAGATCCTCAACAGATAGTGTCTGTGGAGGTTGAATGTGAAGGAGCAGGTAGCAAACAGTTAGGGCCTGACCAGGGAGTTTGTGGAGGAAGCTGGGTCAGCATTCGGGTCTGCAGAGTGACTGTGGTCACTTGCAATGCTGACCCTACCTCTCACTCAACCTTACCACTCAGGGGAAATTGAGTTGCTGAGATGCCTCCAAGGCCTCTTCTAAGTTGTGGAGGGGAAAGGGAGACATGTATGAGCATTTGAGTGGGTGCTAGTCTTCTAAGCTTGAGACAGAGTTTGGCCCAGCTCTGCCCAGGACTTTGCTGTGTGACCTTAACCAGTCAGGACCTTTTCTGGGCCTCAGTGTCTTCATCTGTACTTGTTGGACTGGTCTAGCTCTAGCTCTCTTCCCCTGCGGCTCACGGCAGACTTAGGAGGAGAGTTAGGAGGAGAGATCCGGATCAACCTGCCCAGAGGCCCTTTCAGTCCAGCCAGGTGACCAAATCTAGGCAGGGGCCCAGCAGGGAGGAGCTGCCCTGGGCGTCTCCTGCACACATGGCCACTATTTGTCTCTGGGACCTAATCAGGCCCAGGATCTAGAGAGGCAATTCGGCTGGGCCCATGATCCTTTCCCAGTCCTGAAGGGAGGCAAGAGAAACAGGCTCCAGCCCAAGAACCCCTCATATTCTGTGGGGGGAGGCTGCTCCTCAATCCTCCATGCCCCTCTCCTCCTCAGAAGCACAGGACCACCAGCCCTGGAAATGCCAAAGAAACCTCACACTCTCCCTCCTCATTCTCTCTACATTCAGAGAGAGAGGAGCTGGAAGACTATCCACTGGTGAGGTTTGGGAAACAAATTAAGATGGTGGGGTGCAAGGAGGAAGAGAGAAAGAGCCCCATACTGAATGCCCTAAACCCTGGTCTTAATCCCAGTTACTAACTTGACTCATGACCAAATGGCCTCAACATGTCACTGTTCTTGCTTGGCTGTGGGCAGTAGGAGAAAGAGCACCGTCACAGAGACCTGCATTGTGGTCCTTTTGGCCAATGCCATGGTGTGTGACCCAGGACAAGTTCTTTCCCCTCCTTGGGCTTTATTCCCCATCTGTGAAAAGGAATTCACAGCAACCTAGCAGGGTTGCTAAAAAGAGTTGAGTGAGCCTCACATGCAGAAGATGGTGAGAAATGATGCTGGTGATGCCCAAGCTCACCTCTTGAGTTCTCCAAGGCCTTTGCCTCTCCAGAGGTGCCTGGACACGTCTCCCTGGGTCTTCATTCCTTGGCCTGAGTAGGGAGGGCAGCTATGATTCCCCACAAGATACAGAAAAAAGTCAAGCTGGGGAGGAGGCTAGGAGGAGTGAATGCAAGGAGAGGCTGTGTCTTCCTGGTGAAGTGTTGTACTTAAAACGCCTAGATTCTGTGGTCAGACTAGACCCGGATTTTAGAATCTTGACTGGTTCTTAAGCGGATCTTTTCTTCATCTGGAGATAATATCTGGTGGAGAGGATTATGTAAAATAATGTATTACTATTCTCAGGGTACCACCAATCTGCCAACAAAGGTTCGACGGGCGAGGCCCGCCCCTTTCCTCACAGCCAATCAGCGGCTACCTCCCCGAGCTTCTGTTCCTTCCACCTCTGACCACTCTTCTCCCGCCGCCGACCGGTCCAGCTAGGCTGCCTCTTTTAGGATGGGATTCCCAGGAATCACCCCATCCCTTGGGAAGCAGCTGAGGACCGAGAGGTCACAAAGCATGGCATCAGAGGGCCGAAAAGCGCTTTGAGATTGATCCCGCGTTCCGAGACCAAGTCTGCCCTCAAACCATTTTACAGATGGGGATACCCGAGGCCCAGAGAAGGGAAACTCCCGACCAAGGTCGCTCCGAGCTGAGAGCAGAAGCCCAGGCCAGGGTTTTCTCCACGGAGGTGGGAGTGCAGGTGCGCGCTCTTGGGTGGCAGAGTCCTTGCGGGAACTGGGGCCGAAGTCGGAGCACTAACAGTGCTGGCCGGGGGATTGAACCTACGTGGGATGCTGGACTCCTCGCTGCCTTAGTTTCCCCAGCACTACCTCCGGGGGGAGACGAGGCACCTGGCCACACTTGTGCCTGCCGAGACACAGTTCGACTCTCCTTAGACTCTCGACACCTCCCCAAGTCTGATGGAGGCTCCTTTCCGCGCGCTATCTCCCAGCCCTTTAAAATCCGGTCCCGTTCGAGCCTCTCGGTGTTCTATTGGAAAGACTCCAGCTGGAACTGCGCAGACGCAAGGGCAGCCAACCGGGAAGGCGGAAAAGCCGGTCCCGACAGCGTTGAACGGGTCGGGGGCGGAGAGTGTGTTAACCAATGACTTGAAGGAGTAGGGAGGCGGGATTAGGCCCACAGTTGCTAAACGCTACCCTAGTGGGAGGCGATTTAAGAAATGAGGTGATGAGGGGCTCCATGGTCCTTCACGTCACCGTACTTCTGGCCTGCGGAAGTTAAGCAATCGAGAGGCGGGCCTAGGACCGGAAGCAGGAAGGAGGGCGCAGGAAACAGGGCGCCGCAACCACTCCTACTGTCGGTCAGTGTGTCTGTCGGTCCCTCGAGCAGGATGGAGAAGCTGCGGCTCCTGGGCCTCCGCTACCAGGAGTACGTGACTCGTCACCCGGCCGCCACGGCCCAGCTGGAGACGGCAGTGCGGGGCCTCAGTTACCTGCTGGCAGGTGCCACCCCGACCTTTGACCCATCCCTTCGGGGCTCTGACCTCTGACCCCACTGGCCCCCTTTTCTGCGGAGTCAGGGTAGTGATCGCTGTGCTTGAGAAGTACCTTCCAATTCCCGTAGGGCATAGGGAGGGGACATCCAGGGATCCAAAGCCTCAGGGTGAGGCAGTGCTCACCGACGCTTCCTTCTGTGCCTTCTCCTCAGGTCGTTTCGCCGATTCGCACGAGCTGTCAGAGCTGGGTGAGCCGGGCTGAGGGGTGGTTGGGGGATGGGAAGGCCCAGGAGGGCGTCCCAGAGGGGTGACCACCCCAGCTTATAGTCCTAGGCTTCCCGTTAGACCATCCTGTGCTGTGACTGAATGGGACGAAGGTCCAGCATCCTCTGTCCTGGGCCCTCTATGTCCCCATAGTTGAGAAGCAAATCTGGGGACCTTGACTGGTCAGGCAGCTGGGTCAAGTGCCTTCCCTGCCTATGCTCAGTTACTCCTCCCCACAGTCATATAAAGTGGGTACGGTCCTCAGTGTCCAGTTAAGGGAACAGAAGTTCAGTGAAGTTAGGGAACAGCCACTGATGATCCTAGAAAAAGGATTCAAATCCAGATCTCCCAGATTCCAGGACCCCACTGCCTCTGTAGTGTTTGCCCAGTGAGTACTGGAGGTGACGGTCCCGAAAGAACGAGTGGGGTTTGAAAGGTGGAGATGGAGTAGGCTTTCAGAAACAGGCTGCAGAGAGAGCAGAGGCCAGGAGGTGAGACCACACATCTGTGGCTATTTGGAGCACAATGGACAGTTCTGGACTGCTGGATGACCAGTGCTATTAAGCAGGGCAGTAGCTGGTTTGTCACTGAGATCAAATCATTCTTTCTTGTTCCAACCACCCATGTGAGATCACGTTGGGGAGCATAGAGCTCTGAGGATATGAGCTAAGAGGCAGAGTGGTTTCCACATAGTCTATGGGTGGCTGAGC